GGCGCCCCTGTCCCGGGCGCTGCCCGGGGACGCGCGGGACCCTCGGGCTCCGCGGCCTCCCTCCTGCAGCGGTCACCTGCTGAAAGCTTTTCCCCTCCGTTGCACCTTCGTGGAGTCAGCTGGCCTTCGGGTCCGCCTGGGGAGGGCGAGGCGCTGATGAATGGAGACTCTTGCAGGTGGCTGTGGCACGGTGGGCGAACGTTTAGCGCCGGGAACTGAAAGTTGGAGATCGTGGCTCTGAGCTGTGTCGGGTGCGCACTAGCATCCCGAGACCCTGGAGGTGGAGCGCCCAGACAGCTGCGGAGTGGCACGGGGGACTGGTTTGCACCCAGCGCCCTAAGTCCCCTCCCTTGTAACCTCCACCCTGCCAGCCTTAGCCTGCAGCTGAAATCTTTCCCTTCCTTCCTTTCGTGTTATTTTGGTAGAGAGCGCGACTTCTTAGGATTGTCCCTTAATAGAAAGATGGATCGTTGGGCGCTGTTTGTCTCTCTAGAAGTCTTAACTTGGTGTAGGGAAAGGGGTTAAGGGACAAGGAGGATTCCCGTTTTTCCCTATCCCAAGAGGTACAGAAGACTCACAAGTCAGTTTTAACTCCTGCTGATCATCTCCCTTCCTGCAAGTCATACATCCTCGCCAAGCCAATATTTAGTTGCCCACACCGGAGTTCATCTGTCCCCATCACGGTTTTCTATCTTAATGATGTATAAGTAGTTATTTGTAGGATATAATAATAGGTTTAAGCTTGGCTTACCTAAAGGGGTTAATTCACATGGATGACACGGTACTCTCTGCCCTGCCTGTCTTTTCTTCTAAGGAGGAAATTTCCACACCAAGAGAAACCAGAGCACAGAAAAGGTCACATTGAAAAGTGCCCTGTGTGACTCCTGTCCTTGTGTGTGTGTGTGTGCGCGCGCGTGCACGCGTGAGTTTTTCCTCTAAAATGCAAGCTTGGGTGTTTTTCTTCCCCAGCAGGTTGGCTGGAATACTCTGGAATTACTGGGAACACCTATCCCAAAGACAAGACGTGAATCCTTTCTCACTACTGACTGACCTTCTTTCCATCTGAGAAAGGAGATTGGATTACAACCCCAATGTCTTTCTCTCTGATAGCTGGTGGCTACCACCTTATCAACTTTAATAATTAATATACCTCTCCAGTCCTAGCACTAACCAAAAATCAGGGACTAACTTAGTATGCATCTGTTGTTGCTGGTCTAAAGAAATTTTTAAATCTTTTTGTAAAGAGTGGGAGATTCTTGGTATCTGATCATTGACAGAAGGCTTCCAGTGGTTAAAAATCTTCCTGGAGGCGAAAATAATTTTCTGCTGATATGTAGGGTGATATGTAGGCTCACCTCTGAGCCTGGGGGCCAATTCCCTCTCACCCCCAGCACCGAGAGGTGGCATGACTGGGATCACAGAGACCTTTAGAATGATGAAGGCTAAAAATTGGTCCTTGTTACAGACAAGTCACAAAGTTTGAAAACCATAAAGAATTGTTTGCTGAGTTGGTAATTTTAGTCTTCTCTGTTAGCGAGTCACCTTTTCGTTTTCTAATCAGCAATAGTTAATTTTTGTCTAAACAAAGAGAAGTAGACTAGTTTTCCCAAACTTATTAGGCTCCAGACCAAACATTGAATCAAGATATCAGAGAGAGAGAGGAAAAACAGAGAGAGGACTGGTCATTTGTGAATTGAAGAAGTTCCCCAGGGGATCCTTACCAAGCAGATTTGGGACTCAGTGCACAAGGTGTTACTGCTCAGAGTCTGGCTGCCTGGTGGTCTGGTTGTAGGCCTCTTCTGGGAGCAGGTCAAGAAAAGCAGTATCTCTAGTCCCACCTGAAGCCTTTCTATCAGAACCTGCATTTTAACAAGGTTCTCCGGTGACTCATGTGCACATTTGTAGAGGGACCATGGAGACAGGAACATTTGGAGCTGTGCTGTGTAGTTATTCTGAGACTGTTTCCCAGTTCATCATCACGTCATTTCATTGAGATCATCTGGAATTGCCTTTGTATTATAATACTCTTAGAATCCACCTTGTGCAGTAACCCCTAACCTTAGGAGCCTGAGGAGCCACCTTGGTGGCAGAGTGGCACTTAGATGCAGGCCTGGGTTCCCCCGCCAGAGCTCCTGATCTGCCTGTTCTTTTCTGGGCCTATTGTTTTGTGACCTCCTTTTAGGAACTTGGTGAAGGCTGCTCACTGAATTTAGAACTGAACTTACTAGACTGACAGTTCAGTGTAGACCTCTGAAAATTAGTTGGAAGTGGCTGGGGATGTTTGCAGTTGCCTCACTTATTTGGCATTCTTTCCTAAGATTTTCAAAAAGGTTGGCTGAGGTGCCTCCTCCCAACCCCCCTACCAGTGGCTGTAGCATTAATGTTGGAGGAAGCTTTTTGTGTTGCGAGCTCTTTCTGGGAGAGGTGGTAGGCAGGGATTACTCACTAAGCTGCATGGACACTGGGCCCTTCCTCTGGAGCAAAGTAGAACCTGTTTCTCACTCCCAGAAGTGTAGGTGCAATAACTAGGTTGCAGCCTAGAGAAAGGGAAGCTGCAGGAGCTCAGTTAATGGTCAACTCTTGCCTTCTTCCTTCCAGGGATATGAGGTGTTCATCTTAAGCACCAGAGCGTCACCTTCCAGAGCCCAGCAGAGGAGTGGGGGAAACATGAAGTCCAACCCTGCCATCCAAGCTGCCATCGACCTCACTGCAGGGGCTGCAGGTAACCCCCAAGAAAACCCAGCCCTCTCTTCCTCAGCTGCCTTCTGTAAGCAAGGTTAAGTGAAAAAGTGTGAAAAAATTACCTTTGACATCCCACAAGCCATTTGCTTTAACCTTGGAATGAATCCATTTCATCCAAGTGTAATGTGTTCTGAGCAGGGCAGAGTAGTTCCCATGATATTAAGATTTTAATGAGTTCAGATGCAAGGTGGAAATATTTGTAGCTGGAAATCTCAGCTTAGAGCTGCAATCACTTGTCCCTTGTCACATGGCAGAGATGTGCAAGTGATGTGGATGCCATTGCTTATAGTGCAGTGATACCGCGCTGTCTCTTCAGGGAGCTCCTAGTTACTGGGACAGAAAAAAAGAGGCATTCTTTGGAAATGCCTCTGGTAAAGTGACACACATTGGACTGTCTTCAATCCCTGCAGGGAAAGGAGAACTCTTAGGACTTGCCAGGAACTGTGGGCTGACCTGAGTCTAGGGGATCAGTCCTAGGGAAGATGAGACCCCACTGGGCACAAGTAGGTGCTCTTGGCAGTGCTTGTGACATACAGGCTGCTCTTAGCATTCCTGTCCTTGGCCTGAATGAGAAGTGCATGGTGGAAGTGCCTTGCTACCTGTGTTTAAGGGCTTGAGGAGTGCTGGAATGCTCATGTTTTCTAGAAGAAAATTCTGCTCTACCTTCCTGCATTGACTTTGAAACCCCTGCTCCCTGCAGGGGAGAGTCTGAAGGGTGAGCTCTCTGCCCTGTTACCCACTGAATCTGCTGGTCAACACATAAATGCAACCAGAGGGCTATCCTGCCCTTCTCTTAAGTGTGAAAAAGAAGTCGTAGACAGAGAACAAAGTATTTTCCCTAGAGCCAAAGGTCGGTGGGAAGCTAATGAGGGCTGCTAGCCTGCACTTTACAGCCCCGCCTGATAAGCCCTGAGGACCGGGCCCTGGCTCCCAGGTTAGAGACCACAAGGTGTGTCCTTCCCGGGAGCAGGGGACCCAGGGCCATGTGCTCCCTCCCCCCTGGCTCTTGCTTCCTGGGTGTCTTTGGGCAGCCCCTTGCCCTGCTGTGGAATCACGCTGGACCCCAGGCCTGCTGCTCTGTCCCCTGCCTTCCCACCCACACTCTGGAGACGCTGACATAGCAACAGTGGAGCCATTTGTGGGTTCTTGCTGCTGGACTCAGTGTTTGTGCCTGCAGGAGGGAGACCCTGAACATGAGAGGCCCTCGGCCTTCGGCCTTGTACATCCTTCTGTCTGTCTATCAAAGATGCAGGATCTATTGTGATGGAACTAAAATGCTCCTCTTTCCCTAGAAAGACACTTATGTGTGGGCAGGTATTTAGGCACCATATATATAATGTACAGTGAATTTTAAAGATACAAATTGCAATAATCTTGCTGGAAATCTGGTATGTGAGGCATTTCCTGGTGCTTTGTAATCACATTGATATGTGTTGGGCCCTTTTCATTTTCCTGGTAAGCAGTTGGCAGGTGTTTTTTCCTACGTGGGTAACACAGGGTCACCCTCACTGATGTAGTGCCACTGTGGGTTGTCTATCTCTGAGGACCACGGACCCCTTTGCAGGAGGGGTCTGAGCCTGTGCAGGGGCTTCCTAGGGGACTGGACAGAGGAGGTTCCTATTAGTGACCCAAGAACCCCCTTTACTGGGAGGCACATGGAACACAAACAAAGCTTTGGAGGGGCCTCAGCCTTCAAATGGTGGCACTAATAGAGCCTTTAGAGAGCATGGGGTCTGTTGCTCATTGTCTACACAAAAGAGAGAAGAGAGAGAGTGGAATTCTTTAAAATGTTCCATTATATTTATTCCAAGGAGGAGCACTGCATTAAGAAATGCAACACAATCCGTAATGGAACAGTATCAGTAAAATTTGAAAAGCCCATAATTGATCGTACTCATGGCTTAAAGTTATTGGCAGAAATTGATTGTCAACTTCCTCTTTTTTAAAAAAAAATTATAATAGTTTATTTTTACATATTTTTGCACATTTTCCCACCTCAGTAACAATCTCCTTGGGTTTCCCATCACCAAATCACCCGAGAGTGGACTTTTAAGTTGCACAGTTAGTTGGTGTAAAGACACGCTGGGCTACCTGGCACCTGTCTAGTTCGGTAGTTGTCTTGTTTTATTACCACAGAATCCCTAGAGGTGGGCTGGGGTGGGAGCGTTGACCTTTGCAGCTCTCTGCAAAGGGAAACGGTTACAGTAGATGATTGTTTTGCTGGAAGCAGAGGACCTCAACCCTGAGGGTGGTTACTGTGCAGTAGAGCAAGCCGTGGTCGGAGGAACGGGGATGTAGTGCATATGTGTTCTTCTGTATCTTCCTTTTCCTTTGAAATAGCCTCTCCAGCAGACAGCTTCAGAGGGCTCCTTTGCTCTCAGTGCTGAGAAGTGGTCACTGTCTCTCAGCACTGCTGCAGGGAGGTTCCAGGAATGGAGGGAGCCCCCGGCAGCAGGGTTGAAGGTGGACTTGAAGTGAGTTAGGTAATTGTGAATTACTGAAGTGATCCACATGATTCTCTTGATTCTCAAACGATCTCAAAAGTTCAATTGCATTTTAAGATGTAGTAACTCAGGGAGCCTCCCTGGTGATCAGGGGTTGAAGTCTCAGCTCTTTCAGGCTATCACCAGCCTCTGTAGGTGAGTTTAATCCCCTGCCAGGGAGCTGCTCCCCTGTCCCTTGATCTGCCGCTCTGCTCCCACTCTGGCTCTGGTGAATCCTCACACCCCGCACCCTTCTTTCTCCCTCCCCCACTCCCCACCTCTGCCCTACATCACAGTTCTTCAATGCATAAATAAATGAAAATAAATCTTAAAAATAAAAAGACGTAGTAACTCAACGATGAAGTACTCCTTAGTTTTACTGTTCTGTTGCAGTATACTTAGCTTAACTTGTTGGAAGTTTAGATCATTAAAATTTATTTTCTCACACGCCAGGATCCAAAACATACAGAAAACATCTTTTGATGATACTTGAAGATGGATGATGTGCCTCTTCCAGCTGTTAAGAGAAGTGACCGCCTCCAGGGGTCATGGAGGTTCTTACCTCTGTGGGTGGGCAGAGTGGACCCCACCCTTCGTTGAATGTCTGCTCTCTCACCCCTCCCTCGCCCTCCTCTCCCTCCTCCTCCCTGTAAGCGGTCCTTTGCCGCCTACACCATCCCTGCCTCTATAGGCTTCTTCAGTTCCTTGTCACTGGCTGTGTTAGGAACCAAAATCCGCAACACACTTGGCCAAGCGCGGGAGTGGGCTAGGTCTGAGTGCGCTCCTGGTGGCGGCGGGGAGCTTCTGGGGAAGGGTGCAGACGCTGCCCACTGTCTCTTCTCGAGACCTTTGAGCAGAGACTGAGCTGGAAGCGAGCAGAGAAGCATTTATCCTCAGCTCCCTGGCTCTGATGGGGTTTGAGGACCTGCTGGCTGTGAGGCTCAGTGGTGGATGTTGGTGTGTGTGAGAAATTACATGGGAAGTATGTTTACCTCCATGGACCAAAGGGGAGAGTGGTGGCTAGCACTTGAAAATGGGTTAGTTTCCTACCCACTCCCTGTTGGAAATGTAACGGTTACATATATGCTTATTGTAACCTATGAAGTCTGAACTGCTCAGGTGAGTGATTTCCTTAAACTTTGGAAGCAGTTGAAATAACAATGCTCAGAATTATTTGGCCTAACTGTATCGGCAGCAATTAGGTACCGCCTATAAAAATCTACCATCACCTCTTTTGGAGTGATTAATGATTTTAATAACTAGAATGTTACTTTATTTTAGCCCATCAGTACTACAGTACTAGAGAGAATGTAACATTTATTTATTTATTTACGAACTGGGGTACAGGCCAGAAGTGTGTGTGTGGGGGGGGGCGGTGAGAGGATTGACGAGAGACAGATTGGGCAACAGAACAAGCGGATTGACTGAAGTCCACTGCTAGGAGCAGTGGGCAAGACAGGAGAGGTCTGCTGTGCCATGTGGGTCACTTCCCTGGCCAGGGATCGAACTTGTGCTGTAGTGGCTGCAGAGAGTTTCATAATGCTGAGCTTTAACCCCAGTGACGGCCCAGAGAGTGTAACTCTTAATTATAGAAATATCTCATTAAACAACATTTCATTCATTCAGAATCAGATATCATTTGGCAAGCAAAGCAAAGATGTGTCAGGCCTTTCTAGGAGTCATGGGCAGTAAGTGATAGGTCCCCAGAGATTGTGCCTGTGGTTGCTTAAAAGAAGAGACCAATTTTTGGTAATGTTTCTTTATGTGCCCCTACCCATTGCTGAATGAATGTTTTTTTATAGCTACTTTCCACAACTTAGTTGGAGTAACTATATATATTGGAATATCATGTCAGTTTTGGAATTGCATTTAAGTATTTTATGTAAGCTTTCTTTTCAGTTTTGATGAGGCTTTAATAATCTCACTCAGTGTGAGTTTCTTGAATAAGCGAGGACAGAGGTCTCAGGCTTATGGGAAGCATTAACCAGAGGCAACTTCAGCCCAGGGCCTGGGACAGTGTAGGATGGTTCCAGCTCAGTCTTTTCTCTATATCTGGAATGTTTATTGAAGTAGTCTACTGTCATTTAAATTTTGCTGTATTTAATAATCCTACTATAGTATAAAAATATATAAATACAGGATTTATGCTAAGTGAAGGTAAGTTTCACTCTGTTCCCTACCTGAATGTAACTCATAAATTGATAGGGTCCAGATGAGAAGTTTTTCCATGGAGTCAGAAATGATCTCTTCAGGGACTAATTAGCCAGACTGTTTTCACTTTCTGTTGCCTATTGCTGTGTTATCTCCATGACTGTCCCAGCACCACTGGGCACTAGGCGCGGAGGGCTGAAGCACTCTCCTCCCTTTTGGGTGGCTTCTGTCCCACACAGTCACTGCTGTGACTAATCACTTATGTAGCAGGCGCTATGCTAAGCCTTTGTCCATTTTTGCTTAGTTCTCATGCTAACCCGCTGAGGTGGGTGTGGGTAAAGAACTGAGGTTCAGAAGTTATATCACTTCTCTGTGGTGTCTGTCACAGAAGTGCCAGGCTCCAGGCCGGGTTCCTCGCTCCAGGCTGGGGTTCCTTGGGCTCCATTGTTCATCCTCCACACACATTTGCCCCCTGTGGCTCTGATTGCTGAACACAGATCTGTCTCCCTTAGCAGGTGTGACATCTTCAGGAAGGACTGTTGCAGGGTGCATTGGGGGACCCTACAAGTTCTTCAAACTTGGCTGGAAGGCTTGGGGGGGATATGGTCAAAATGAACTGCAGCAGAGAGAGGCCTGGGGTGGGTGGCCCCTACCTCATGCTCATGGGTAACCACAGCTGCTCTCAGACACAGCTGCAGGCTGAGCTGGACCACAATTCCTTCCTGGTTGCAGGGGGCACAGCATGTGTGCTGACCGGGCAGCCCTTCGACACAATGAAGGTGAAGATGCAGACATTCCCGGATCTGTACCGTGGCCTCACCGACTGCTGCCTGAAGACCTACTCCCAGGTGGGCTTCCGAGGCTTCTACAAGGGCACCAGTCCAGCGCTGATCGCCAACATCGCCGAGAACTCTGTCCTCTTCATGTGCTATGGCTTCTGCCAGCAGGTGGTGCGCAAAGTGGTTGGATTGGACAAGCAGGCAAAACTTAGGTGAGAACACCACATTTCTGGCTTGCTCAAAAGCATATGATGTAGACAAGATTCTCTCTCTCTCTCTCTCTTTTGTTTTTTATAAAGATATATTTATGCATAAAGAACTGGGGTACAGGCCAGAGGTGTAGTGGTGGTGAGAGGATTCACTAGAGACAGACTGGAGAGCAGAACAGGCCAACTGATGAAGTACACTGCTGAGGGGAGCAGTGAGACAGGAGAGGTCTTGTCGTACACTCTTTGTCCCCATCACGGACTATTGGGAGGCAGAATAGGCAGGGTCTCAAGGTGGGAGCGGCGTCAGCGAGCAGAGATTCCTGGAAAAAGGGGAAAAAAGGGAAGCGGGCTCCAGGAAGACAAAAGAATTGGGTGCAAGTCTTCCTGCTCTGCCTTTAGCAGAGGTTTATTTTATACATTTCAAGCAGGCAGAGGGATGACATTAGCATATGAAATGGGCTGAGATCACAATCACCTTTTTTCTAAGAATAGTCTGGGGTCCTTTTGACCTTTAGTTGAGATTATAACATTTTTAAAATCAGTCTATCAAGGTTAAAACAGGTATAGAGATTCACAAAGTTTAAGACTAATATTACTATATTTACCACAGTGAAGATTAACAAAAATAAAGTCCCTTAAACCTTATCTACTACTTAATGGCTTTCATTCTCATTGAGACATCCTAGGGGGTAAAGTAAATTGGGGACAGGAAGAGGAAATTTCTTGTAAATCAAATTACAGTAAAGTTCTTTGAAAAACTTGTTAGAAAGTTTAAGTAAATTTCCTTGAAGTCTAGATGATAGAAAACCTGATTAGCGCTGAAGAGGTGAGCTGAAGAGGTGACTCGGGTGAATTTCCATATCTAAAGACAAGATAGCAGAAAGTTTGAGTGGTTCTTTAGAAACTGAATAGAATGTTATATGAGATAGTAGAGTGATGAGATTTGGGTTTTCCTCCATCCAGGCAGTAAAAGAGTAAGTTTCAGTATTGCCTCAATATTGACATTACAGTAACAGCCAATTGTTTTTATCAGTCAGCCAATTGTAAGGTCACTTTTGACTTCAAGAGGAATTTCTCACTTTGGTGCAGTGCTTGCTTGTCTGGGCCAGGTAGCGCCTTATGAGGCTGAGGCAATCCAAGTGTAAACTGAAGGTTGCTCAGAATATTTTGATATTATGATTATACAAAAAAGGGAGGTCATAACATAAGTTAGCATGGAAAGTCTGATTTTTCAGAGCACTTCTGTCTCTATCTGGAATATGTCAGTCGATAGAGGTTGCATAGCTTGTGTCAAAGTCTGCTGCGCCATATGGTCACCTCCAGGGCTGGGGATCGAACTCGTACTGAGGTGACTGCGGCCAGCTTGCAGTGCTGCGTGCTAACCCATAGTTCCACCAGGGAGAGCTAAGACAAGATTTTCATCATGCTTTATGAAACTTTAATGTTTTTATGACACTTTTAAAAATAACTCTCTAATTATGAAATTGTATGGAAAAGGAAAAATATTGTTCCTTCTTCATATAAAACATAGAAGATACACTGTTAGACCAAAGAACTGCCCTGGGTCCATTGTGGACAGCGGATCTGAGGCAATAGTATTCTTTTTTTTTCAGCATGTATACTATTTTATTTTTAAATTTTCTTACAGTTATGCATTTTTGTGCACTATTTGATTTCTCCTCTTGAGTATAGTCCCATTATTTTCCCACCCCTCTGGCACCTGTAGCTATCATCCTAGTCCCTTGTGCTCTTCCCTGCCCTGTTTGACCCCTTTCTCTTGCCCTCCCTTGCTGTATCCTTCAGCAGGGTTTGCCTGCAAATTTTACTTTTTCCTGATCCTTTGGTCAGTTTCCTTATATCCCCCCATCATTGAGACCATACAATATTTTTCCTTTTCCTTCTGGCTTATTTCACTGAGCATAGTTCCTTCCAGTTCCATCCATGTTGCTGCAAATGGCATTAGGTTTTCTTTTTTGACTGCTGATTAGTATTCCTTTGCATATATATGCCACATCTTTTTGTCCCCTCCTCTATTTGGGGGCATTTAGGTTGTTTCCATCTCTTAGTTATTGTAAATAGCACTGCAGAGGACATCAGTATTCTTCAGGAGAATGCTTTACAAATGCTAGAGATAGTGCTCCTTCCTTTATAGTGCTGGGCTAGAACCACAGTTTCCACTTGTGACCTAAACTTTGGGGTCTTTTTATGAGCAAGTACAGAGTATTGAAAGAGGTTGCATGACCCACATAGATTTAAGGAGAAGCTTGTGATTTGGGGAAGGATTAGAAGCTTCGGAGAAGATGCAGGTAAATCTACTATTGTTTTAGTCAAATTTGCCCCAACCCTTAGGCTCTGACATTCTCCGTCTTCCTTGGGCATTTTTACACAGAGACTAGAAGCAGTTAGGAAACTTTTGGCACGTTTAGCTATCCTTCCTTTGAACACTGATTTTTTTTTTTTATGTTTTATTTTGAAGTTGTTTCCTATTATACCTATTGAGGTAAAGTTAGTTTATATCATTTTATCTGCCAGTTATAGGTTCAAACCACTACAAATATATGTTTTCACACCACGCCCACCACCAAAGTTGATTTATAAGTCATTGATAATTAATATGTCGGCTGCACGGTAGCAAAGGGCAGCCCTACTGGTTGTTTTGGTAGAAATCTGAAAGCCTGTTGCAACTGGCTCCTAGCCTGGTGAGGAATTCTGGGGGGCCCCGGCAGGGAGGGCTCCTATTAGTGAGCTTGCTGTTAGGTTTCTTTTGTGCAGAAGTGTTCTCTGGAGGCGCCTAGAGTTCTAGTGACATGGCTTTTTATAGGAAGGAAATCTGTCTCAATGGATAGAACTTATTTTTTTTTTTTTTGATGTATTTATTTGTGCATACCCCTGAACTTGGGTACTGGCCAGAGGTGCAGGGGCGGTGAGAGGATCAACAGACAGAGTGGGGAGCAGAACAGACAGATCAACGAAGTACACTGCTGAGGGGAGCAGCAGGCAGGTGGGTCAGGAAAGGTCTGCCAAGCCATGCGGATCATGTTCCCGGGCTGGGGATAGAACTCTCACTGAAGCAGCTGCGGCCAGCTTGCAGTGCTGCTTCCTAACCAGTTGTGCCACCAGGGAAGTCCTGAGGGCTGCTTTTTCATCCTGTGCGACAGTGTTGCTTGTCACATTTTGCTACCCTAGAGTTACAAAGTTCTGACCTGTAGGCTGTGATTGTTAGTTCTTACCTAGTCCTGTGAGAGGCAAAGCAGCTGCTATGAGCTGTTTTTGATAGATGGGGTGGTGGGGTGCACATACCCACCACTGTGGGATCACCAGGTTGCTGACCCAGAGAACTGGTACTCAAACCAGTGACTCAGCCCCGCCCAGGAGCCTTTCCACAAGGTCACAGTCAGGGCTCTGGGTGTTCTGCAGGGGTCCTCTCTAGAGAAAAGAATAATAAGCCGAAACGGTGAGAGCAAAGAACTGCTTATGAGGACCTGTTGTGAATTTCGGCAATAATCCAATCAATATCTGTCTGTCCTGGCTTTGCACCCCGAGTAGTGTTCTCCTTTGACCTTTGGCTGGATAGGGCCTTGCACAGCAGGCGTGTTACGTACGCTTGTTGAAACGGTGACGGTTGGCCTGACAAAACCCCTTTCTCCACCTATTGCTGTTTCAGTTCCAGCTCCAAATGGCTATGTTACAGCACAGGCAAGAGCCTATGTACTTCATTTGGTCACTGGTAGATGAAAGGATTTATTAGAAAGCCAAAGTCCACCGCAGATCTGATTTGCCACATACCAACGTGCCAGGTCCTTGGTCAGGTGTCCGAGCCATTACTACACCTCAGATCGGGTCGACGTCTGTGTTTATTGATGCCACCTTTGTTCCAGCAAACCTGGCAAACTCTGGTTATTGACCCCAGTTGACTTGTCTGTCAGCAGATTACCAGAAAGTTCCCGAGGGAGTCCAAGTATAGATCTGTGAGCTGGCTGGGAGATGGCAGAAACCATTCTAGGCTTTGGCTTTGGCCAATGAGCTAAGTAGGTTCGGAGTGAGAAGTGTGGTGCAAGTACAGTTGTGATTCTGGTTGTCCTCTGATAATGAGTAGGTGTTTGATTCTCTAAGCTCACAGGGAAGTCCAGACTGCAAGCAGCGTCTTCCTCCCACTAGAAAACCTCACTGCAAATCTGTGTGCCATGAGAACTGCGTGTGAAAGAGTCCCCTTGGCCCTTGGCACCTGTCTTCCATCCGCCTCAGCCCAGGGGCCAGGCCCCCAGAGTGAAGCCACAACAGAAGCGTCCTTGATTTTATAACTGGTGTTTGACGTGGGTTTGTGTAACAGTTCATTTATTGTACCTTTAGTCCTAATGTCACCCTGAATATGGTTGCTCTATCAGGTTTTTCCCAGAGCACTCAGCAGGGGGTTCACCATCCAGGGGCTTTGGGACACCTTTGAACTGCTCTGGTTGTACAGTGACAGCAAGATTTAATGTGTGTCACAGAGCCAGTATGCTGCTGGGAGGTGTCCACCCTACAGCCAGTGGTGTTCCCATGGCAACTTACACTTCAGAAAGGATTTTTTCTTTTTTTAAAATAAAGGTTTATTTATTTATGCATACAGAGATGGGGTATAGGCCAGAGGTGCAGGGTGGGTGAGAAGCTTCACTAGAGACAGAGTGGGGAGCAGAACAGGCCAATTGATGAAGTACACTGGTGAGGGGAGCAGCGGGCAGGTTGGAAGAGGTCTGCTGTGCCACGTGGATCACCTCTGGGGTGGGTATTAAACTCATGCTGAAGTGGCTTAAACTTCTTAGTGCTGTGCTTTAACCCACTGCCAGCAGGGAGGGCCAGAAAGGATCTTTTCTTTTTTCTCACTTTGGGAAAAACCTTTCATAGTTTGCCAGTAGTGGTTTATTATGTCTACAAAAGTAATATGCAGAACAAGATACTAAAAATTCAAAAATCTAGGTTATATGCATAACTCTTCCTACCACTAGGAACATCCAGCTCTCAGAAAGGATCTTTTTTAACCCCTGATCTCCAAGATGTCTCTTGGCTTTGTTGCTCGGACTTTCCCCCACTTCTTGGACTCTTTCTGGCCTGCAGGTATATCTGCTGGTGACTGTGGTGCTTGGTGCTATGCCCATGGGGGAAGAGCTGACAGCTTCTGTTCTTGTGTCTGTGTGTACCCACTGCTCTGTTCAGATTTAGTCTGGTTTAGCCATTTGACCTAAGACCATTGTGCTTGCTGACACACGCCGGCTTCACCCTGTCCTGAAGCACCACCACAACCTCCTTGCACCCAAAAGGTCACTGAGGTCCAGGAATCATCAGTTGAACTGAGCTGGGAAGTCTTTGTGTTGAGTGACTTTCTGGTTAAAAGTTTATGCCGGGGGCCCTCCCTGGTGGTGCAGCGGGTTAAAGCACAGCACTAAGAAGCTAAAGCCACTTCCGCATGAGTTCGATTCCCGCCTGCCCTGGAGGTGACCACATGGCGCGGCAGACCTCTCCTGACCCGCCCGCTGCTCCCCTCAGCAGTGTACTTCATCGATCTGCCTGTTCTGCTCCCCACTCTGTCTCTGGTGAAGCCTCTCACCGCCCCTGAGCCTCTGGCCTGTACCCCAGTTCTATATGTACAAATAAATAAATCTTTAAAAAAAAAAAAAAAAAGTTTATGCCGGGTTTTCTCTGTGACAGTTGTTTTCCATGTCTGGTTGTTCAAGGTTGGTTTAGGACACACAAAGATAGCCTCAGAACCTAGTTTTATTTAAAGCTTACTTGCACATACAAGAAAATATTCATAGTTAGTGTTTGCAGGCAGAGTCATTGGCAAGTTCATTCTTCCATGTTTTTCTGGATCGGTGTGGTTTGCATATCACTCCGAGTCTAAGTTCAGGCTGCTATAATAATATATCATTGACTGGGTGACATAAACGACAGATACTTGTTTTCCACAGTCATGGCTAAGTCAGAGGTGCTAGTTGATTTGGTCTCGTGGGGACCCTCTTTCCGGTTTGCGGAGGTGCAACCTGCTTGTTCTCACCTGGTGGAGAGAGAAGGCTGGCTTTCTAGTTTCTCTCTCTTTTTTGAATTTTTGCATAGAAGAACTGGGGTGTAAGCCAGAGGTACGGGGGTGGGGGTGCGGGGAGGTGATTCACCAGAGACAGAGTGGATAACAGAAAAGGTAGAGCTACTGAAATACAATGCTGTGGGGAGCAGCAGGTGAGACAGAGGAGGTCTGCTATGTCATATGTGGGTCAACTCCCTGGCTGAGGATCCAATTCAGGCCTTAGGGGGGACAGCACTAATCCTTAACCCCTAGGCCACCAGGGAGGCCCTCTAGTTCCTTATCAGGGTGTTAACCCATCAAGAGGACTCTACATTCCTGACCTCAGCTAAGTTAATTACCTCCCAAAGTGTGCCTCCCTCAAATACCACCACATTAGGGGTTAAGGCTTCAACATGGAATTTGGGGATGGAGTGACACTCATTCAGCTTAAAGCACTGTAACTAACAAACATGGACGTGAGACTGGCAGACCTGGTATTGCCGGGTATTAAGTTCCAGGATTGCCACTCGGTGTCTGCGTGACTCAGGACACATTACATATCATCTCTAAGTGTCATGTCCCTCATATGGAAATTGGGGTATTACTCACAGGCTCACAGGGCCCAGTGAAAGTGGCACCAGTTCCTGCTGGGAAATCAGAAATCCTTCTCTGCTGTCCTCCTCACTCTCCCTGACCACCTGGGTTTTTTAGCTTGGTGGGTGCTGAATGAATAACTGGGTGGGTCATTGGTCTTCTGTGCTTGTCCTTCCAGTGACCTGCAGAACGCTGCCGCTGGGTCCTTCGCCTCTGCCTTTGCTGCGCTGGTGCTGTGCCCCACCGAGCTGGTCAAGTGCCGGCTGCAGACCATGTATGAGATGGAGGCCTCAGGAAAGATAGCCAAGAGCCACAAGTAAGCATCGCTCAGGCACACACTGTAGGTCTCTGTTGCCTTGAGATACTGAGGGATTTTAAAATTCTGTATTATACTGAAATCGGGAGCAGATAAACAGACTAGTTTCTAGAGTATCTTTCCCTCCCAGTAGAGTTAAGCTTTTGAATGAACTGTGATAGTCGGACTTACCACCCCACCTCACAGGACCCTGGAGGCAGATACAACATAACCCCAGGAGTGGGGGAGCCAGGAACTGAGACCCCTCTGACTTGCTGACTGTAGAAAGCGTCGCCTGCACTCCATGGGAAGGCGCACAGCAGAGCGCTTTGGAGCCCTGAGAGCTGAGTCTTCACAAGTGCCGGGTTGGATTCTGAGATGAATGTTTGGAGTTCGCTCCCAGCTTTCACAGGGCAGGGTGATTCCCCCCAAATCCTGTGATAACTTCCTTTACCCACATTTCTAATCCTCAGGTGTATTCACAAAGGGCTCAACTTCTGAAAACAATTATCAAAGATCTCATAAATATACCTAGTCTTCAGTGATCCACTCTCTTTTCAGTATATACCCTCTGAGGGTGTATATGTAATATATAACTTATTTCAGTTGAAATGTAATTTATTCTTATTAACCTTAAAAAACTTGCTTATTTGAATATCTGCTTAACTGATATTCTCATGGTGGGTGTTGCTGTGTATTAATCTGCTGGGAAAACCCAATGTATAAACTGACCATTTTCAGAGTTACCAGTGTTCTCCCAGTGAGGATGGGATTTGTAATACACTCTATTTTCTGCACCCTTGAGATATATTACAGTCAATTTAAATCTATTACATATAACGTAGAGGTCCAAAAGTTTAAGTCTTAAACTGTGTACACAGAAATCGTTAAGTGTTCAATTCTATAAATAGTCAAAAAATGAGTATCCTTTGTAACCTGTACCGAGATAAGAAATAGAGCATTAACAGAAAATTAATAAAAAATTGTCCTCATGTCCCTTGGAAGTAGTTTGAAATTTTTAAAGTATTTGTTAAGCTCCAAAGGATTTAGACAAGAGTAACTACTGGCTAACTATTTTGGGGCTAGCAGTGCCCACACCGGCAGTTTGGGCTTAGGTCTTGTATTTGCAGGGAGCTAATTGTGCTGGGCGGAATCACCTTATTTTGTTACCTTCACATTGTAGCGTGAGATCATGTGGCCAGGAGGACCTGGCCAGTGAGTAATGCTTGAGGGAGCCTTCTGAAACCTCAGAAGAAAGATCATTGCTAGGAGCAGATGAGTTTTTACCTTGGGACTTGAACCTTCATTGATTCCAGCCAGACCATCTGCACTCCGAGAACCGAGTGAGGCAAAAGGGCCGGTATTGAATCTGTGATGGTTGGCACTGTTCTTCTGAGGGATAAAGGCTGTCCTAGCTCACACCATCAAGTAGAGGATTCAGGCGGTTGCAGGGCACTCATCTGCTTAAAATAGGAATTCTTACTTACTCTGGAGAACTAAATTCTTGGTACTTCCTGCTGCACAAGGGCTCTAGCTCATTTTTAGAATTTCTTTTGTCTTGCCTTCAAGTAACATATAATCCCTGGTCCATTTCCCTCCATTAATGCAAAGCAAAGTAAACCCAAAAACATAGGAACAAATTCCCTCAAAGCACATCACAAAAAAAGCTGATGAGATAGAAATTAGGAGGTAAGGGGCTGAGCAGGACAGTACCGTCTTATCCTTACTGAGTTTAGTCAGCTCCTTACTGTAATTGTACTTTCACTTACTATGTAAAAATTGAGTATTAGCGTTTTAGAAAAGTATATTTGATAACATGAATTCTGTCCTTGTTATGAAATACTTATTGTGTTTTTAAAGATATTTCCTTCCCACATAAGACTTTTAATAGAATTCTGGTTCCTCTATTTACAGGATCGCTGTTTCCTTGCGTAATCAGGTCTGCTCATTGGGTATATCGTCGTCTCCTTTCTTCCCTGCTTGCTTTATGCAGTAACTGTCTCTCTCCCTGTCTCCACCCAGTACAGTTTGGTCTGTCGTGAGGAGTATCCTTAGCAAAGATGGCCCCTTGGGCTTCTACCACGGACTGTCAAGTACTTTACTTCGAGAAGTTCCAGGGTATTTCTTTTTCTTTGGTGGATATGAACTGAGCAGATCATTCTTTGCATCAGGGAGACCAAAAGATGAACTAGGTAAATGTGTCCCCATGGGCAGCCGGTGCTTTGGTGATGGCCCTTTCTTCTGGTTGCCGCGGACAGTGGTGCTGAGCGCCCCCTGGTGGGGATCCGCCCACAGGGTCTCTGCTAACTGGAATGCGGTTGAATTTCCTTGGGTCGGGTACTGAAGTACTGTATTTCGGGTTTCTTTCCTGAAATAACGTTTGTTAATTGGCTTTAGGTACATTTTAGAGAAGAAAAAAAAACATATAAATTTCTTTCCCTGTGGGAAATAATCTATAAGTCATTTTGTAATAAGCTTAAAATTTGGAAATAAATCTTGATGTTGTTTTGGGAGCTGTTTATCTATCTACCTATCTCTGTCTGTCTGTCTGTCTGTCTGTCTGTCTGTCTGTCTATCTATCTATCTATCTATCTGTCTATCTATCTATCTATCTATCTATCTATCTATCTATCTATCTATCTATCTATCTATCAATCTATGAGCAGTTTATCTATCTATCTATCTATTTGGGAGCAGTTTGTCTGTCTGTCTGTCTGTCTATCTTATCCTGTTTAGCTGCTTGACACAATCATATCAATGACTCATATGAGTGATTACTTAAAAAAAAAAAATCTCCCTTCAGTGTATTGGGTCTCTTTGGGGTTAGTCAAGTTTCCTAGCTTACCTGTTGTATTTAATAAAACAACTTTAAATTTGTCATGATAAAGCAACAGTCAGGGTTGTGGGGCATTGGAATGTTAATATTTTGGAATGAGAAAGGGGGGACAATGCAGCCTGTATTTTAGTGGCTCCTATTCTTAAGGGCACTGACATGTTGGAGGCCTGCGGTTCTGTGTCAGCCAGGCCTCTGGATGAGGCAGGAAGGCCAGGGTGCCTGCCACAGTGACCAGCTTAAACACAGGCCTTCACAGGGTTCCTGCTGTGATGAGGGGTTGACCCAGACTCTCAAATGGAACCTTATGCCCTTAGAGCTTTGATGGCTTCAGAGAACCGTCCTCCACAGCATTAGCATCTTTATTTGCACCTACCTGAGCTACTGCTATCCTGGCCTCGGGAAACATCTCACATCAGCCATTTTGAAACAAAACACTGTTCGCCACTTTTCTTCTCTAGGTCCTGTCCCTTTGATGTTAAGTGGTGGAGTCGGTGGAATCTGCCTCTGGCTTGCTGTATACCCAGTGGATTGTATCAAATCCAGAATTCAAGTTCTTTCCATGTCTGGAAAACAGGCGGGATTTATTGGAACCTTTATAAGTGTTTTGAGAAGTGAAGGTGAGTTGCAAAGCAGGAGGTGTGGAGAGTGTGATCGTTTCCTGGCTGGCCCGTCAGCTTGGTCAAATGCCCTCCTCCTGCCTCATGGCCTTTTTCTGGTACAGTCTATCAGCCCACACTGGTGGATTTCTGTTTCCCAACCTCTTGGATTACTTTTATTATTCTTAGAAATGGTTAAAGTTCTTATCCCAATGCTTGGGGCAGGGTTTTTAATTCTAAATAGTGGGAACTTTTAAGATAGGGATTTTACCTGAGCAAGTATGTTTTTATAATCACACCACTTGCTTTGTTAGAAAATAAAAACAGATTTAAAAGATAATTGTAAGGATGGACAGCATCCTAAATGCAAAGACTTCTGCAGTTAGAAGTGCCCAAAGCAGTTTCTGAAGATGATCTGCTATCAACTTTTAGAATTATGCAAGAGGATAAAGATCTATGTAGTGTTTATATAAAGCCAATTTTATACTACTAGTGGGCAAAGACCTGTCCTAGCACTATTACACATTCTAAAACCAGACATCAGAATTTCTCTGTCTTGATTTTAAAAGAAAGAGCATGCAGCAACAGTATATAAAAATTGTATCCTAAATAAAACATACACATATGTTACCCACAGTAATGCCCCTTTGAATTCACTTAGCATGTCATGCTTTTGCAAATTACTTATACCTCCCTTATCTCATTTGATTATCGTAACAATCCTGAGCAGTGTTTATATAGTAGATCTTCTTTAATGTCATTGATAAGTTCTTGGAAACTTCAATTTTAAGTGAAATAACTTAACAGAAACAATTTTACCATAGACTAATTGATATAAACAAGAGTTAAGCTCCTGTGCCATATATTGGGCTCCAAAAATATCACTAAACTTTTGAATAAAGACCCCAAACAAGGCCTCGCTGGTGCAGGGGTTAAGTCTCAGTGCTGTCAAGCTATTGCCAGCCATTGTAACCTGAACTCGATTCCCAGCCAGGGAGGTGACCCACATGGTGTGGCAGAGCTCTCCTGACCCACCCGCTGCTCCCCTTAGCAGTACATTTCAGTAGGTCTGCCCTTTCTGCTCCCCACTGTCTCTGGTGAATCCTCTCACCTGCCCCCACTTACCCCTGCATCTCTGGCCACCCCAGCTCTTGTATGCATAAATAAAGTAAATATTAAAAAGAAAAAAGACCCCAAATACTACTTCCAGTTTTAAACAGTATTTTGCATTTATTCTTTCATTACCCAAGCTACTTATTCCAGTTCAGACTTGTAGACTTGTGAGTGGTTGGAGTCCTGTAGCCCAGGACACAAAGCAGGAGCCTGTCCTGGACTGGACATCCTTCTACTGCATTGTGCATCACACACCCACTGTCCAGTCAGGGCCAGTAGGGACATGCCTGTGTCCTAATATGGACCATGTTGTGTGGGGCATGAACTGAAGTACCCAGAGAACATATGCCGAATGTGTTACAGACAGCAGCCTAAGCTAGGAATCAACTTTTTTCTTGTCAACATTACAATGAAATGACATTACTCAAGGATCTGCTCTCCTAGAAACAAGCTCTGACTTCCACGCTAGCACTCATCCCACTGACCTCATGCCCTTTGGGCCTTCTGCCTTCTGTCTACTTTGTGAGGTTGAGCTCTGTCCCATCCATTTACCAGAGTTGACCAAACACGGAATTGGTGTTTGTTGCCAATTTGTCCACCAGCTTTGCTGGGAGAGATGGTTCTTTCCTGGTTTCCATTGATCTTCTTAGTTTCATTAGTGTAGGGAAACCTGGAAGTCAGTCTTCCATGCCTTGTTGGTTTTCAATATATTGTCTGGACTTGTAAGTCTAAACACACCAGTTACACAGTTTGGGGAGTATCTCCCAGCAAGGAATAGCCTGTCACCACCATTTTGTCTTCCAGGAATAACAGCCTTATATTCTGGACTGAAACCTACTATGATTCGTGCATTCCCTGCCAATGGGGCACTGTTCTTGGCCTATGAATACAGCAGGAAGTTGATGATGAGCCAGTTCGAAGCGTACTGAAGCATCTGGCGAGCCTGGATCCCAACAGGCATCTGAGGACTACAATTCATGTCAGGGTCTCAAGGACTACAAGACCAATGTGGAATTTTTGATTTCATGGGAATTTTTGTTTTCCTTTCTCCTATCCTAAATCTTAAACTTTAAAGAAGGACCTCTATTTTACATACATAATTCGAGCCCATAATTGTACTGAAATACAAAAGCTGCTGCTCCTGTCCTGGATGTATTCAGGCAGGGCCACTGGCCTTGCGCTACCTAATCTAAAAGGCTAATTATAGTTCTGTCAGGGATTTTATATAAACCTGGATGTGTCCATGCAGTTTGCTTATGCAGAGTGAATCACAATCTGGTTTTATATTTAACCTCAAATTGTGCCAGAAAAACCCCAAGATAACCACATTCATAGTTTTAAATAATTGCTTCACCTGTTCTAGCTGTGGGTGTCTCTTAAAATCTACTTATTAAGCGCACTATACTAAGTGGTTAATATTTTTTAAAAGTTTTCTTGTGGTGCTTGGAAACTAAAATATCCATCTAGATTTTAAAGAGGCGAATATACTATATACTGATGTGGCTCCCATTTTCTTATGTACCAGAGTAGCCATACTGGATTTTCCCAAGATGTTCTAGTATGAAAATAGTTCCATTTGTTCAGTAGTGGATCCTGTCCCCCACTCCTGACACACAGGGGACGGCTTTGAGCACCAGGTCTTTGGAAGTGGCACAGCCTTCATCTGTGCCTTTTTTCTTCCAAGAGCTTCCCCTCTTCTGGGCTTTAGATTGAGGAAGGGACTGAGCGGAGAGGTCTGTGCTGTTTTGCTCGGTGAATACCCTGAGTGCCAAAGCCAGGAGAAACCCTTGTCCAGCTGGTGTGACAGTGCCCCTGCGCAAAGCAGGCCAGTCCCCTTCCCTAGGCAGGAATTGGTGCTTGCGCCTTGCAGAGAGTGATCTCAGGACTGACTATGCTGAAGTTTGTCTCAGGATCCATATTCCTTGCCATGCTTTTACAATGTGGGAGCTTTTTCATTTGATATTGGCAGTCAGCGAATTTTAGTGATGATTGTTATATGGGTGTGACTATATAACTAATTTTATAAACTGTGCCTAACAACAACACCGACTAAATTCATTGAGGCTCACAGTCTTGGAGATGTGGAGTTGTTCTTCAGCCATCTGGTATGAGAGGGTCCAGTATGTCACCCCTAAAGCCAGCCTCATCTTTCTGTGCTGCTCCAAACCAGCAAGGGCACGCTCAATTAAAAGTGTTCTTAAGCAGCCTGGAAGGCTGACGGCAGGCTGGCTAGCAACATTTAATAGTAGTCTGGGCAACACTGTTTGTCTCTGTCCGCAGGATGTAAACCCTGCATGAAATCCGTAGTCCCCCGAAGCTTCCTGTTCTCCATGAAGACTCAATGGTGACTGGTGTCATAGCCAGAAGCAGGACACTCAGGAGGATGGGATGCTGATGACGGGGCTGCTGCAGACCTTTCCGGAGGGTCGTGGCTCTCATGCAGACATGCTCCAGAGCAACAGCTGGTCTTCCATTTGTTTTTTTCTTAAAGGAAAACCATTTCACTACCTTACTTTTCTCTCCATACTTAAATGGCCAGTTGCTACTGAGTGGTGCTTCATCTGAACAGGCCTGGAAGGAAACGAAATGTGCAGTTGAACCGGCTTCCAGCAAGAAGTGACCTGCTTCATTGTCATGGTCCCCCGTGGCACGCCTGTGTGCTTGTCTAAGTTAGAGCTGCTGGCCGTAACCTTCTCATGTTATCCTTTAGAGATTTAAATATCTTCAGTAGAAACTGTCAGGCAAGTTGTGAGTGGGTGGGAGTCAGGGGTGGAAATCTAAGTCAGGAGACTTTCATTCTGTTGGCTTAATTCATGGTTCACTATTTAGGTACAATTTGTACCATTTGAGATATGTACTCTAGACAAAAATATAGTAACTTGAAATATTGCTTAAAGAAATTCTAGAGCTCTATCATTAAATTATTTACCTAATATTTGAGTATAAGAGTCATTTTACATACTTACATGCATGCTAAAAATGTTTTCAGTGTGGTTCTATTGCAAAGGGCATTGTTTTTGTTAGCAAGATTCCTGATACAAAACAGTTTCATTCTAAGTAAACTGTTTAAAACACACGTTTGTTCTATAAACTACTCCTATGAAACTTAGCCCACTAGGGTTACTCTCTCCCTCTGTGAGATGTGCTACGACTGATTTGGTAGGATGCCGTTCTGTTTTTTAAAATAGTTAATAACAGGTTTAAGTCTTGGATAATTTTACTTTAGGTTAGTAATTTAAGATAACCAGTATAAAAGTTTCTTGAGCTGTTCAAAGAATTATTCACATTGTGTTCTAGAAAAACTACAACCATGAGGCCTAAAAATTTCTCTTATATGAACAAAATAACAGTGGGTCCATTCAAAATGCCAGAAATTTTGATGCATTTTGGAAAATGCACCAGAAGAAGACAAACACAAATGTAATCTTATTTCAAAAAGCAAGATTCTTAAACATTGGGAGTTTCCTTCCATTCTTCTTGGCAATACTGAAAATTATCATACTGTTTATCCAGCCGACTGTTTTTCTCCCATTCACTCAAACCTGCCTCCTGTGGGTTATCACTGCCTGAATTTTAGTTTTTAAAGGTTTATTTATTTATGTACACAAGAACTGGGGTATAGTCCAGAGGTGTGTGTGTGTGTTGTGGGGGGGTGAGAGTGAGGTGATTCATCAGAGACAGAGGAGCATAACAGGCAGATGGACAAAGTAAACTGGTGAAGGGAGCAGCGGGTGAGACAGGAGTGGTCTGCCATGCCATATGGCAGGGATGGAACTTGTGCTGCATAATGTGCTGTAAACCACTGCCCCACCAGGGAAGGCCTGCTACATGAATTTAAAGGAAACATCACAACCTGTTTTGCCACCACACATTGTCTGTAAACAACACATTTTACAGGGAATAGTAGTCGTAACATGGATGGAAGTTGAGAGCCTTTTTCTCCAAGGGGAGTGAAATTAGGGGGAGCAGAATAACTTTTGTCAAAAAAGCAAAAAGCCTTTTGCTGGCCTACTGCACTGGTAGATGGGATGGTTTGAGGGCTCCCTAACAGTGGCCCTGGTAACCCAGAACTGTTCCCATCTGTGCCATTTGGGTGCCCACAGCCCTTTTCTAATTAAAATTTTGCTCTAGTTCCCCTTAAAAAAATACTATGGCAACCTCCAGGGATGAGTATATGGCATTTTAGCAGAGGTATCATTTCTTATATTCACTATCCTTTCCTGAAGCATTCATCTTGGCCTTGGGTTGCTGAATCTTGCCACTGAAAGAGAAATCACTCAAATAAGGCTAATTTTAATAAAGCTAAAAAGGACAATCAACATGCTCTGTGGTGAGAGCACAAGGCCAAACGGTGTGTTAGGGTTGGAGGTGGGGGAGGCTGCTTTGTGGACAATTTTCTTCACTGGCTTTAAAATTTAAGACTTTGCAGCCAACCTGCTATTTAACAGTTCATAAATCAAATGGAGAGGCAAATAAAAGTGGCCTTTCTAATAAGTCTGAAAATACATTCGTGAACATAGGCACATATACTTTTCAAAAAATGTAAGTAAATTTACAGTTTTAGGGAGAATCCTACTTTTTCAGTATCCTAATTTCAGTATAAAAGTTTTCCTTCAGAATTCCAACAGGGCTAAGTAGTGTTCCTGTGTACTGTGTTTCAAATTCATCTCAGCACAAATGAAAGTTCTGAAGGATATTCCTTGAGAAGAAAAAAATTCCCATTGACATTTTACCTTGTATTTGTTTAATAGATTTCTCAAGAATTTTATGTACACATATAAACATAAGTCTATCGGTAAAGAAATAGATTTAGAAGAGTATCAATATATAACAGGTTGGGAAGAACATGATTCTACCTAGACGGGGAACTACACTAAATCAGATACCCGCTATCACAAAACGTCGTCAAAGTATATCTCAATTGCAAATTCTGGCGGGTAAATTTTCCATGCTTTTGGTTTATGGAGATTATCCACTTCATTTCTTGAAAGATAAAGCCTAGAATAGAAAAAAATTACATTTTATTTTAGGGCTAGCAGAAAAGCTATACAGTGAGTCACCTCTGTTAAGAGTTTAGAAAAGACTTTGAGGCCACAGTGGTGTCAGCCCTTTACTGAGCCTTCAATTTCCAAGAGCCACATGCCATGGGTCATAGAGTACCTGGAGCTTCAGTAACAAACACAACAGTAACAACATGGTATTCGCACTTTTAACATTTCCTTTTAGGAAATTAATGAGATGTGGGTTTAATAAAATACATTTCTATGTGACAGAAATCATGAGATTAGATGTATATTAAAACTAACAGTTTTTCAAGTGGTGCTTATCATTTTTAGTTAATGAACACCTCATGATTAATAAAAAGGTATTACCAAGTAGTATGGAAATGTAAGTGTGAAATCTTTAGAAATGAAAAAGTGATCTAACTTGTTGCCTCTCCAATATGAACATGTGTGTATCCTTCAGCAATAACTTCCTTTGAGAAGTAGCACCAAATAAAGCTCTACCCAGATAATTATTTCAGGAATTTGTGTTCTGAGCAAACAAAATTGGGAAAAATTTTCCATGAAATCCAAAGTTCATTCTACCAAAATTTACGGTGTGTATGCATGGTAAATGTGTAGGCCAGGTGTTCAATTTACTGTTGCCTTGCTGAAGTTTAGTGTGATTAGATGAAATTCACATTTAAAGAAGAAATAAGCTGTAAATAAGAACTATGGCTTCATGCCATGTACGATCACATCCACTTCTTCTAATTCCCATGAGTTTTAGAATATTTCCCTTTTGCCTTGGGCAGTATGGTGATACCAACACTCTTAAGCTGCTCAGCACTACAGAACAAATAGTCCTTAAAGAACTTCTAGATTCAGAAATGAGTTTTCAGATATGGTAGAAGAAACTTGGGAATAATCATCCTCAAGTGACTACTTAAAATCTCCCAATTTGGTTATTAAAAATCATATTTAATGAGACTATCAAATTTATGATTTCTAGCTCTCTTCATTCAAACTTAATGTGCTATAACTTCTGCCCTAGATATAAGTATGTTAATCCATTTTTAAACTAGCACAGCCTCTCTAGATAATGCCTTACCTTGGCATAGAATTTGGTGCAGTTTGTTATATCAGTAAATCAATATAGATACTAAGCAGATTCTTATCAAACTCCTATGAAAGAGCTTTATTGCTACACGCATTATCTGATTAAACACATTTTAACTTATAATGCAGTACTGTTGGCATGGATGTTGAAGGTGATATAACTGTGGTTCCCAAGAATAGCCATATTTCTTAAATAATCAGATAAGATGACTGCAAGAATGAGTGGTGACTCAAGAATTTTTAGTTTCCATGAATTGAGTTTATACAATCAGCAAAAGACTTGGTCTCACATCTTAAACAAACAATAAAGATTAAGTTGTTTCTACCAGATGACGTGGTAACCATACCTGTTATCTTGTATAAAAGATGTATGGAACCAGAAGAAAAATGGGCAGTTGTCATAGTATTTAGGAAGATTCTAAAATGACATGGTTTAAGAAGTGATTATTTTTCATAGTAAAATTTACACCAAGAACTAATCATTCATTGTGTATTCCCCATAAAATTCCCACCACCAGTTCACTCGTGAACTTTCACTACAGTCCCTGTGCTCTTCTCTCCCCTGTTTTATTCCCTTTTCTTCTCCTTTCTTCTCAGAATGTCTTTATTTATGGTTGCCTGTTAATTTAAAAAAATTTCGTTATTGTTTATTTTTTCCTCTGGTGCCTTATTTGGCTCCCCATGTTCCTTCTATAAGTGAAGCCACTTGATAACTTTCTTTTTCCTGCTGGCTTATTTCACTGAGTCTGACCCCTTCTAGTTCTGTCCATGTTGCTGCAAATGGCGCTTAATTACAGATGTACTTTAAAAAAATTATTACCTATATATATTGCTTGTTTCTCTCCCCCTCCTTGATATCTGCTATCATCGCTCTTACTGGTAATTGTAGCAAAGAAAATTCCAAACCAGAATCATTCAAAAGATCTGATAAGAATAAGTTGCTTCTTGATTACTCACATTACAGAGAAACTGCACCTTCACATCATCATACAGAGGAGGGCAGCTGAGTAGTTTAATTATTGCTCTGTCTTTTTTATTGTCATGAAATATCTGCAAATGAACAAATGGAATTCAACACTATAAATCTAGTTAATACTGCAATAATAAGCATAACAATTTCATTGAAATTCATTTTCAATGAAATTCATTTTTACTTAGGCTTCCAACAGTTTTCAATGACTCTTGCTCTGGTAGTTCCAAGATTGCATGTAAAAATTAATGTTAACCATTATTTTTATAAACAAATTTAAGGGTGTGGCCGTGTTAAAAATAAAGTACTCATTTTTCTTTTAAAGTTTAAGTAACCATTACTGTTGAATATATCAGCTGATTTTCATATGCTGAGAATAGGCTAAGAAGTTCAATTTTAAAACTAGAATTCACATTCAAAAGTCAATGCAAAGCTGACCATGACTGAGGATCATAGTCCTTGTCCAAAGCAGACTGTTGAATGGAGTGACCAAAGATAGACTGAGTTTCTAGAATAAACAACCTTGAGGCTCTACTGTCTCGGTATTGACTCGCATTGTATAATAGTAGCACCCACCATGAAAAAGGTCTATGGCAACCCTGTGAAAAATATGAAAGAAGGGGAAGACATAGTTAATGCTTCAGGAAGCTATATACTTAAGGAACAACTGTAGAATGGCATGTAGTTATGTGTCAAGTTGTATGATGAAGACAAAGTTGTTGGTCACTGAGAGGAAGCTGTAAAATGAGAATGTACACTGGCCCAGTCCTTCTGGGAAACAGTATGGAAGTTTCTCAAAATAATAAAAATAAACCTCCATACAATCCAACAATCCACTCTCAGGTATTTATCCAAAGGATATAAAAACACTAACTCAAAGGGCAGATGCACTTATGTTCATTGCAGCACTACTTTCAACAGTCAAATTATGGAAAACCCTCTAAGTGTCCAAAGACAGATGAGTGGATTGGGATGGAATACTACTCAACTCTCAAAAAGGATGAACTCTCACCATTTACAAGAACAAGGACAAAACTAAGGGGGTTGTGCTAATTGGAGTAAATCAGAAGGAAAAATACAAATACTGGATGATTTCACTCATACATGGATATAAAGAACACAAAAGAATAGAAAAATCTAAACCTAGATAACCTAGCAATCTGACTGTTACAAGAATTGAGGCTTCCAGAGGGGAAGATGAGGCATGGGGAATAAAGGGAAGAGGGATGATGAACTATAGCAAAGGACTATAAGTGCTTTGCTGGTCAGTGCAGTATGGTAACATACCTGAATAAGTGTGAAGTTGTACCTCTGAACTATATAATCAGTGTTGTAAACCAATGTTACTGCATTAAAAGAAGTAAAATGATAAAAAAATGTCAATGCCTGAGTGGGAGGATGTTGGTACCATTTGTAGAAACAGAAAAAACTCATGTGATACATTTGGACAGGCCAGTGTGTTTGTGTGTTGTATGAAAGGAAAGAAGGCTGGCACTTCCCTTGACGAAAGTGTTTGAATTGTTGGGGCACAGACTATATTGTAGCTCCTGCACCTTTCATACAGAGGCTACTCATAAGTGTGTGCAGAGTGAATGGAAGTCTAAAGCTGGGGAATGAATGAGAGCAACCAAGAATACAGTTGTGTGATGATAAGAAGAGAAAACAAAGTACTAGGCCTGAGTGAGTGCCCTCATTTGGGACTGGTGGAGGAGAAAAGAGGGGAGTGGGGGTGGGGGGGAGAAGGGAAAGAAATAGGAATAGAGGGGTAAGAGAGGAACTAGATACAAAAGCTTGAGAAATAATTTCAAAAGTTATGTTACTTAGACCCATGGAAGAAGCATTCTTACTGTTTCAGAAAAGGTCTATAGTCTTGGGTATTTATTCAACTTCTAAGAAAACATTATACAACTCAATAAAACAAAGATACTAATAAATCCAAATTTAAAAAATGGACAGAAGAACTGAAGACATTTTCCCAAAGAAAACATACAAGACATACAGATGGTCAACAATTGCATACAAAGATACTTAATATCACTAATCATTTGGAAATTAAAACTACAATGAGGTTATCACCTCACACCTATCAGAGTGGCTATTATCAAAAAGACCAGAAACAAGTGTTGGCGAGGATGTGGTGAAATGGGAATGCTTGCATTTTGGTGGTGGGAATTCAATTTGGTGTAGCCACTATGGAAACAGTTTTGAAGATTCCTCAAAAATAAATAAAAAAAATAAACTAGAACAACTATTTCTGGGTAGACATCCAAAGAAAACAAAAGCACTTACCTTGAAAAGATACATGTACCTCATGTTCATTCATAGTGCAGGCCCACAAGACCTCTGAGTTAGAATCACTCAGGTCATTGCTAAATCTAGAGATTTCTGGGCCTCATTCCAGATTTCTTAAATCATACTTGTGAAGTACAACCTAAAAATCTTCAGCATTCAAAGCTACTAGGTAATTTTCATGCCCACTAAAATTGCAGAACTTGTACCGTATAATAAAATGACCAAGAAGAGACTATGGCTAGAAACGACCAGTTATGTGAATTTAAAACTCCAAAAGATGCCTGGGAAGATGCTTAGCATTTGTGGAAAAGTGAAAGTCAAAGCAATACTCTGAAGTGAAAGTATATTCTGGAAAACTTCCTGAAGTAACTATTTTAAACAAGTTTAACTTAGCTCTAACTTGCAGCCAAACCCAAGGACACCATATTGAACAATAATTAGAAACCAACACAGCCTCTCATTATAATAAGTGATGGTTTAGGGAGGTCAAATACAAGAATTTTCAGTTCACATGCTTTCTCTTACCCTACAGTTTTTGAAAGCGGAACAGAGAAAGATAATCTTTTGCTGCATTATTATTTGTACTTTTAGATCACTTCCATTGCCTTTTCCAACACCTGAATGAAATGAAAAAGTTTGGTTGGTTAGCACAAAGATCAAAGTATCTCACCAACTAGCATTATGGAATTAAAAGAGAAATAAATCCCAGCTACAAATGTATACAAATATAAAATATGGGCTTTGCATTGGTTTTGTCTTGACAAGGCTTCAAGCCCAATTATGTCTCCAAAACGGAATTTATAAGACTGAAGAAAAAAAGACAAAATTCAGTTTCTGAGACTTAGAATCTCACTTCACTTTAAAAAATATATATAATAGTTTATTTTTACATCATTTTGTGTCTTTTTCCATCTCAGTTGTAATCCCCGTGGGCGTCCCATCACCAAATCACTATGGTGCCTACACCTTGCCCCCTCCACCCCATTTTTGATCCCATTCCCCACTCCACCTCCGTAAAATGTCTCTGGTATATAGTTGTTCATTATTATTACTATTTTCTTGCCTGGTCCTTTATACTCCCACTATAAGTGAAACCATCTGGTATTTTTCCTTTTCTTTCTTGCTTATTTTACTAAGCATGATCCCTTTCAGCTCCATCCATGTTGCAGCAAGAGGCATGTGTTTATTTTTTTTTTGGTTGCTGAGTAATATTCCATTGTGTATGTGTACCACATCTTTTTAATCCAGTCATCTACTTTTGGGCATTTGGGTTGAGAATCTCATTTCAATTTAACAGAGGAAAACTTATGAGAAGCAATTTGCAACCTTTCTTACTAATGTGTTACTTTCTTTAAACTTTTAAAGAAATGTCTAATTCCTAGAAAATTATCAGACAAAGTTATATGCAAATGTTCCTGTGGTGTTCAGTGTATAGTTATGGACAAATGATCCTGTGCCCCCTTTTTAAAGTCAATGACCCATGTTAGTGTTTCCAAGGGCTGATTTCTCAGGTTCCCTTTGGTTTTTATTGCTTCCCTTTCAGCTCTGTATATTCCACTTATGTATGCACAGAACTCAAAGTGCAAAACTAAAGCAAACCTGCTTTAAAAAATGTCCCATATTAGGCCCTCCCTGCTGGCGCAGCGGGTTAAAGCACTGCACTGAGAAGCTTAAGCCACTTCCGCATGAGTTCGATTCCCGCCTGCCCTGGAGGTGACCACATGGCGTGGCAGACCTCTCCTGACCCGCCCGCTGCTTGCCTCAGCAGTGTACTTCGTCGATCTGCCTGTTCTGCACCCCACTCTGTCTCTGGTGAATCCTCTCACCTTCCGCATCTCTGGCCTGTACCCCAGTTCTATATGAATAAATAAATAAATCTTTAAAAAAAATGTCCCATATTAATCTTACATACTTTTGTTTTGGTTTCACTGACACCATGTCACTGACCAGGAATCATAATTTCTTTGGCTTAGTTGCCCTGTTTTATTCCAGTTGTAGAGCTTTTTACTGATGTCTACCAGAAACCAGTGAAATATAGAACTAAACGAAGTCAAATACTTACCATATGACAAATTAAAATAAACCTGTACACATGTAGAATGTTTTGAATAATTTAGGTATATTTGTATGATTTAAAAGTAAAAGGGAAGAAGACAGGAAGTAAAAAAAATCTTTCAGTCATCCCCCATCTCCAGTCCCAAATCAATAACTATTATTGGTTTCTTGTTTTTCAGTGTATGTATAACCAAATATGCACATATATTCTCCCAGAAGTTTTAATAGACTTATACAAATATGAATGAGTACATATCACTCCTCCCCTTTGTTTTGACAGAAATTATTGTATACCATTACACTGTCCTGTACTTTGCATTTAAAAAATATATGTCAAGTTTTCATTTAACATATTAATTAATAAGGAACCAATAAAATATTACTGCTGGCTCAAAGTACCATATATTTATTGTTAGGTAAGGAAAAATGGAATGAATTTACAAATAGACAGAAAATGGTTCCATAATCAATTACATTTCATTGGATACAATTTGCATTTCTATGTATGAAAATTATTTGCATTATTATCAGTTTCTTAAGAACCACAGGACATAACCCCAGGAGGGTCCAGACAAGATATTGCCCATTTCAAAGAGAGTCCCATTTCCTGAGAGAGTCCCTTTTACTTTCCTGTTTTGATAATACAATTTTAGGGGGAAATTATCCTTATTCCCAAAAGAAGGTTGTTGCCTACTATTTACATGGCTGCAGCAAGGATTTTAACTTACCATATTGGCCCTAAGTTGGCTCTGCAAACCTGCACCCACACTACTGAAGGGCTGCTAAGTTCTCAATTTTCAGTGTGGAAGTCTCCATGAGGAATCTCAAGTTGGATCTTTAAAATACTCCATTTAATGTCATTAAGACAAGGAAATCAAACCCATGAAACTCTCTACCATCTTTTACCTGCAGTACTTATAAGTCGAATTAGTTCCTCTGTTCTTTACTTCTGTAGTTTTAACTGAACAATTTCTCCAGAGTTTAAATAAAATTCAAAATGTTAAGGGAGTCACATTCTTAAAATAACAAATTCAGATGGCAAACGAACTCCTAGAATTTCTTAAAAACAGTTTTTAAGGGCCTCTCTGGTGGCACAAAAGGTTAACTCAGCACTATCAAGCTATCGTCAGCTACTGCGGCAAGAGTTGGATCCCCAGACAGGGAGCTGATCCACATGGCACAGCAGACATTTTCTGTCTCATCTGCTGTTCCCCTTAGCAATGTATTTCAGTAAATCTGCTGTTCTGTCTCCCCACTCTGTCGCTGATAAATCTTCTCACCCTCTGACCTACACCTAGTTCTTATATGCATAAATAAGTCTTAAAAAAAAATTTTAGTTTAAAATTTTGAGAAATTATCCCTATCCCCATTGTTCCTATTAATGAATTAATACATTATAACAAATGTTTGCTTACAGTAGTTTAATACAGTGGCTTATATAGGTGCTGTTATCCCCATCTTTAACAAAGGAAACTGAGGCAGAGTATATACTCAGATACAAGCTTTATAGTTGAGTTTCAATTTCTTAGTGGAAGCAATTGCTCCAGTAGTTAAGTCTATTGCCTTTCACACTATAGTATAAAGTAGCCTAGCTCTACTAGAGTGCATAGGGAAAGCACCTCTGCCCTCTATCTTCTGACACTTGTTCGACTAGACTGGCTCTATACTGAGGTTTGACATAGAGATCTGAAGGAGGAAAGCCATTCGTTGCCACTACAGCCCTGTGGCTCATAATTTACATAATCCCATGAGGCAGTCATGGATTATTTGTAGAGGATTTTGCAGTCCACGAAGACTTTTTTTTTTACAAATAGTTGCTCATTTATAAACATAGGCAGCTTCCTGCTAGAGCAGGCTATGTTTCAAAGGTCTGCCTGTGCAATGCTTGCCAACCAAAGTTTCCCATAGAAACAATGTGACTGGCTGAAATCTGGTTTAAAAGCCAGAAACCAGAGCTTTTATTTGTAGTAATCCACTAAAATTCTTAACCACCAATAAAAGGTGGGGTGGGAGGGCATATGTAAATTTTTTTATATTTTATTTTATTATTTTAGAGATTTATTTTATTATGCATCCAAGAACTGGAGTATAGGCCAGAGGTTTGTATGTGGAGGTGGGGTAAGAGGATTCACCAGAGACAAGAGTCGGAAGCATAACAGGCAATTGACTGAAATAACTGCTGAAGGAGCAGTAGGAGAGACAGGTATATATACCTCATGTTATACATGCAGGTAGGGAAGGCCTCAGTGTTAACCTGTGCCATGTGGGTCAGCTCCCTGGCTGGGTATTGAATTTGTATTGCAGTGGCTGTAGAGAGTTTCATTGTCCTGAGGCTTAACCGCTTGTGCCGTCAGGGAGGCCACAATTTTTGTATTTTAACTAAAAGCTGTCATTATCTTTTCACTGTGCAATATACATATATGTATGTGTGTGTCTTTGCTATGGGTTGAAGTATGGTTTTAGAAACCAGAAAGCTTTTACTTTTAAGTAACTAGATAAAATGTTAAAAAAAAAATTCTAGATCTTATTTTGTGTGATTCCTCAGAAGGCCAGAAACACTAGGTTGACTGAGGTCCCATACTCAACTCTCCTTGTGGTTGAGAATTTACTATTACTTTTGGGATTCAGGAGCAATGCCCCCCTGCTGTACCCCAGACAGTGCGAATAAGTCCCCCTTACTCCCCAGCTGACATGTCCCTGCTCTGTACCTGCCCTAAGGATGAGTTATACAGGGAAGTCAATGGTGAGAGCGAAATAGCCAAATGGACCTGTAGCCAGTTTCTATCCTCAGAGGCTTTCTTCCTTTCTCTCATCCCAGAGATAACCTGACCAATTTTCCTGTCTCTTTGGCAGTGGAGGAACCCAGTCTCTCTCCTTACGTTCTTGAAAGACAGCTAACAATTTTGATTGTTATAAGGATTTTTGCACCTGGTAATAATTGGTAGCCCCAGTCTTTTTCTGTATCCTCACATGGGGAGACTGAAAGAGAGCCCCACAGACTCCCACTTTCTTTCCCCTAACTCTTTCATATACAAGCAGGTAGGGAAGGCCTCAGTGTTAACCTCCAGAAGACCTCCTTTGACCCCCAGGAAGTTAGGCAAAGCCCAGCCTCTGTGTGCCCAAGCTGCATTCAGCTCTTTACCTATATTCTCTTCTGTTTGCCACCCAAGGACTGTAAAGGTAGGTGAAGCCCAAAGCAGGTCCTTGGTTGTTATTTGTAAAAAAAGAAAGAAAAGAAACAACAAACTTCACTTGCAGTTTGCAGTTCTGGAGTGAACAAATCTTAACGAGGTGAGCAGGCTATAGTGGAGGGGAAAAGGGAAGGGAGAGAATCAGGAAATCAAGGAGTAGGTAAGAAAATGAGTTCTGAACTAGGTGTGTGTGAGAAAGAAAACAGTCTCGCTCCATCTATCAGAAGTTGTACTTTGAAAAGTCCACCTCGGGGGTAGACCAGAGCAGTTTTAAGAACAGGAAGAAAGGGAAGGGGTCGGAACTCCCAAATTAGTGGTGGGAAAGGAAAGAGGAGGACATTTAGGAGTTGGCAATACTGCCACAGCACCGCTGAGCTAATGGGCAACTCAAGGGCTCATCTGTGAGGACACACAAAAAGCTATCAGCTGGGTTGTCTGCATAGATAGGTGAGCAATCCCCAGAAGAAACAATAAAGACATGGGTCCTTCTGCCCAATTTTCCAGTTCCGAGCACTTACCATGAACTGCATAAAGACAGAATTTTTTTATCTTGAGTATTTTTTTTGGAGGGAGAGTCATATTGTAGATATTTTTCACATCTGCAAAATATCCAACATATCTATTCTGCAAAACAATAGAAGCCTCAATTTAAAAGGAGAAGAAAAGTCTATTGTCAGCTTTCCTTATTTTTTTTTTGAAAACACAGAACTTGTGAGGAAAGTAACTGATGAAGGAAGCACTGGGTGCCAGCGTGTTTGTGGATGTTGCCTCAGGACTGCCCATCTACCTTAGACAATAGCTACTGAACTGAATGGTGTGGGGAAGTAACAAAAAAGGAGCTGGGTGTTGCCCAGAGGCTGCAGTGTGTGATAAGGCAACTGGCCAAGAGAAACGAAACAGCTATGACAATATGACAGGAAGAGGCAGTTAACCACAACTCTTGAAAAAGGTGGCTCTGGGAGAAGCTTAGCTGGGACTGAGTTACAGGGAGGTTTGTGGTTTAGTGGAAGGCAGCCTCCCAAACAGGAGAGAACAGCAGAGGTGAAAACTTGAGAGGAAGACCTCATAGCATGATCTTCTCTGTTCCTACCAACTAGAACTTCTTCACTTCCTAGTTGCCCAATTTTATTTTTGAAAGAAAGCCCTGGAATTCTCTTAATCTATTTCTTCTCATATAGCAAGCTGCTCACAAGGCCTCTATTTGAATCTTTCTCCAAGAAATGGAAGGAAAAATGCTGATAATGAGTCAACTGGATTTAAAGTTCTCAGACTATTCCCACCAATGGGAAGGGCTAACAAAATTAACTGCCAGGGCCTCCAAGGTGGCTCAGGGGTTAAAGTCAGCACTATCAAGCTATTGCCAGCCACTGGCATGAGTTCAATCCTTAGCCAGGAAGGTGACCCATATGGCACAGCAGACCCGCCCCCCACCCCCACCCGTCTCAACCACTGTTCCACTCAGCAGTGTATTTCAATTGATCTGTCTATTCTGCTCCCCCACTGTCTCTAGTGAATCCTCTCACTACACCCCTCCAACCTCTGGCTTACACCCCCATTCTTGTGTGCATAAATAAAATAAATCTTTAAAAAAAATACTGCCATATTTTTCATTGAAAAGGGCCTGTCAAGAGAAACTTAACACAAATTCTGACCACAGGGGTGGATGCGATTGAGGAAAAGAGCAGAAAACCTGAAGAAGACATCACACGATTAAAACCTGACTCACACAAGGAGGTGGGGTAGAGGGGATTAACATGACCATTAACCCAGTCTTAGAAAGCAAGATCCTTACTGACTGTCTTATCACAAGGTTTACAACCCAAACAGGTATCAGACTGCTTAGGGAGGCACAGACCTGAGGGTAAAGATACAGAGGGCCCATGGTAAAATTCCACATAGTTATCCAAAATCAGCAGCAGAGAGGCCACACAACAAAGGAATGAGCCCCTCCCAAAGAGAAAAGGACTGTATCAACTCAGTCTCTGCACTGGCTCGGGGCAGCAGTCCTGCCCACCTGACTGCAGGTGCTTCTTTCCACCCTCTTTCAGCCTCCTGCCTGCCCATGACCTGCACTGCACCATGCCCGGGCTTCTCTGCACTGACCTACCTCGGCGGAGGCAGCTCTCTAAGGCCGCTCACCTGGGCCCATGCAGGCCTCTCTCAGCAAACCTGTCCCTTGGGGCAGCTCTTCCTGTGTCTATGCAAGTGTCCTTTACTCCTCTGTCCTTTTCCCTATAAAACCTGCTCTTGAAATATAATTGATGTCTCTGTCTCGTGGAGAAACTTGCCTGGGAAACTTGCAGTATACCACTGAAAGGGGAGCTCTGGTGAAACCTTTCTCAGAGTGAGCCAAGGACCCCACACTCCAAAACAAACAAACAAACAAAAAAACCAGATGAAATGTCTAGAATGGCCACAAGCAGGGGCAGAATATGTTATCTTAGAATTACTACCACACACAGGGAATGACTCTGGGGGTCTGCCAACAGACTATGGCCTGGGATATTGCTATTCCAGAGACCCTGAAGACAATCAGTTGTCCCTTGGTGCGCAGGCTCTGGACTAAAGTTAGAAAAAACTCAAAACTGCAGAAGAAAAGTGGAAGGGAGAGTCTTTGACGGAGTTAAGGACAACCTTCCCTCGGCTCCTGCCACCAGATTTTCTACCTTCCAGTAAGGACTGTAACCCACCATGGCCTGCAAGTTTTTGCTTCCATTCACTCTTCTCTAACAGCAAACAAAGGAGATATTTAGTGAATCACTTTGGGATGCAAATGGTGGAAAGACAGGCAAGGCCTTGCCTATAAAAGGGGTAGAGAAGTTATTTATGTACAGCAGGCAGGTTTGGAGGCCCTGGGGTGCCCCTCTCCCTGCCCTGTAACAGATTTGGTGCCCAATGTAGGGCCTGGAGCCATCCATGGGGAAAGTTGATTTTTCTCTAGTGTTTTTTCAGGTGTAGATTTGCTGGTGAAAAACTAGCTTGGGCTTTGTGAAAACGCTGCGTGTATGTGTACAATTTGTTTGTAGTCACTTGCTAAGAGGTTTGCTTTTGCGGAAATTGTTCTGGGTAGTAGTTTTGCTCAAAAGATGGTAGTACATTGGACTTGATGGGCAGGTCACTGGCATCTGAGGCCACTTGGCTGGCTTCTCTGGAACTTGGAAGTTTTTGTTCTGGGGCTCTGCCTAAGATTTTAGCTTCCTTCATTAACTAAATTTAAGTTGCTAGGACCTTGGCCATTTTTTCTTTTGGTGATCTCTGCTGTTTTACACAGCATGTCAAAAGACAATGGTTTTTCAGTGACAGGTTGCTTTGACTCTGGGTTTGACTTTGACAACTTCCTCATCTCTTCCTGAAGGGTTTTATAAACCAACAGTGGAGCAGTGGTGTTTAAATTAGCAAATATATGCCTGGGTGCTAAGGAAAACTAAACTTTGAGTAGTAACTGGTAAATGCTGGTAACTTTAATGGATTCTTGGAGACGAATTGAATTTTTTGCAACGTGCACTCAAAAAAATTAAAACTATTTTGTCTGAGTCTGAATGGATTTGCTGCTGTAAAATTTGCCTGTACAATTTGTTATGGGAATGTTTGCTGTTTGAATTATGGGCTTGTTTGATTACTGGTGTAAGACAAAGATTCTAAGATTTTGCCTCCTATTGAGGAAGGTTTTTGGTGCATGATGTAACTATACCAGGTTTTCATATCTGTGTTGTTACTGTTTCTCCCTAGAGTGGGGGAGTTGTACTTTGTACTTGATGTTGAATCTGCTCTTTTATCTTCTGTCCCAGAGTGGCTAACAGAAGGAGATGACTCTTTTTAATTGAAAGTTAACTGCTGATATTTTGCTATTTCAGGTTCTATTCCAGGAAACTCAAGGATTGCAAGCTTAGTGGCTAACTGATGACTGCTTTTGTTTGAAAGTTAATTGTTTTTGCTCTTTTAGCTACTGTACAGGATACCCCAGGATTGACTTCTAACTAATGGAAAGCCATAAACACTGAAAACCCTAAAATAATAAACAAGGCTATGTAACTCTTGTAATAAATAAAATTTTTTCCTATTTCCAAAGTCTTAGGTTTGTAGAATTTTAACAGGTGGTCCCCAGGAAAAGGGGAAGTTCCAGGTTCACTGCTTCACTCAAAGGAGGGTGGAGCTGAGCAGGGAGAAGTATATTGAGCAAAGACTGGAGAAGAGGGAAGAAGGATAGAGAGCCAGAAGGAGACCTTAGGGAGGCTCATGGAGCAGAGAGACATGTGAGGAAGCGGCTCTTGTTTCTCGGTTCTGGAGTGACATGGACGAGAGACCTGTGGGGAGGTTCACCATGGCAGCGTTTATCTTGATTTTGATTTTGCTCTTTTCCTCCCAGACTTGTCTGGACATTTCTGACCCTTTTCTATGTGACCCCTCCAGAAGGGGCTTTAGACTTTGTGGAAGGCTTTCAGGATTTACTTTGAGACAGTCCCTTTAGGGTAGACTTATACCCACAAGGGGTAACTTTGGTGTTTAATTTAGAAAATACTATATTCTTTATGTTTTCTGTATTGCACACTAATTAAATTAAAGTTCCTTTCCATTAAAGGTCTTGCATGTTTTATCTTGATGCGGCAGATGGCAGAAACAATTTAGAGCAGGCAGGCCTGTGGGTTCATCCATGTCCCTTTCCCTGCCTTGTAACAGTTGAACAAAGTCTACAAGCTGTAAAAACTATATATGTTCTGACTTTTGTAATTAATAAAGTAATACAAAAGAGAGTTAGGAAACCTATAAACTGGAAAAGCCTAATGAAATGTGTGAACCTTGTTCAGATCCTTATTTGCATTGAAACTAAATTTTAAAAAGATTTTAAGATAATGATGGAAATTTATAATTTTTTAGTGTCTGAATGGCTGTCTGATTTATTTTTTTATTTATATAGATATTTACATCATCATTTGTTTTTAAGCAATGTTAGCTGTCTCCTCTCAGGTGCATCTCCCATAGAATTCCTACCACCAATTCACCCACACACCATTGCTATAGTCCCTTGTGCTCTTCCCTCATTAATGGAAAATGATTTATTTTTTTATATTGATTGATTCATTTCTCCTCTCAGGTGTAGTCTCTGTAGTTCTTCCACTACCATAGGACCTATGATCCATCACCTGGAAGTGTGCCATGTTCTTCCCTCCCCTGTCTTAACCTTTTCCTCCCCCTCCCTTGCTGATGCCTTACATCTGTGGTCAGCGTGAAAAGTTTTGTCTTTTCCTGACCCTTTGTTTGGTTCCCCTATTTTCTACCTATAAGTGAAGCCATCTGATATTTTTCTTTTTTCCTTCTGACTTAGTTCAGTTAGCACAATCCCTCCTAGCTCTGACAATTATGGAAATATAAACTAGGCGTTTTATATTATTAAGGTATTATGAAAATATTTTTTGATATGATAAATTGTTTTTAAAAGAATCTTTATGTTAGATGTCATACTAAAATCCTTGGGTGGTGGTGGGAGGGGGATTTATGTTTGATGTTTTTTAGCAAAATAATCCAGGTTTAGGGAAGGGGGAATGGATGAAATATAGTTGGGTACATGATGAAATGACAGTGTGAGGATGCTATAAGAGAACTTATTGTATCATCTCCTTGACTTTTCAAGCTTGACGTTTCCCATAATAAAAGGGAAAAAAATGTAGGAAAAAAAATGTAAGAGGAAAAAAATTAAGGTAATTGTGGGTGTAGCATACCAGGCTCCTTTCAAGCTACAGAGAGCTGGACGCTTGATTGACATGCCTGTGTCCTTGTTAGTAAGAGGGGTGGGAGTTAGGGGTATACCCACCCTCCCTAAAGCCCAAAGCCCAGTGTTCAGTTTGACCCACCCTTGGTCAACAAAAGGGCCAGGAGCTTGCTCTTGAGCTGCATCCTGTGTCCTACAGCTGCTCTGTGACTCCTGATTTATCACTGCAGTGTCACTGACACAACAGGTAATGGTATACATCTCACATAGGTCATGAGTATTCAATGAGATAATAATATAAAAGTGCAAAAGAGTCTTCAGATTGGTTTTTGGAAAAGGTCAAATTCCCCCCTTTTGAAAATACAGCTTCTCTTCCCTGGCCCTCTTTATCCCCACCCCATTTGTGATGTTCTATAAGGGCTGAATTGATCTAGTAGAGGTTCATGAAAGACTCCATCTTATTTGCAGGGCAATAAAATAAAAAGAAAACAAAAAACACTGGTGACTTTAGCTAATCCTCAAGGGTTTAGAACCCTAGAAAGTAGATATTCCTACTATCAGGGAACAACTTCTACACTGCGTAGCCATTAACTTATCTAAAATGGAAACCCGGATGCTCTGGGGAACACTCGGCTTGAGTGGGGTGTGCTCGAGGCTCTGTGAGGAACCAACACCCATCATAGGGCACCCCAGTGCTGCTTCCTAATCACCAACGGAGAAGAATCTAAAGTGCAAACAAGTGACAAGCACCAATCTTAACCCAACTCCCTAGAGAATCCGCCTTCTGAAAAGAAAATTTAACTGTAGGGGCCTCCCTGGTGGCATAAGGGGTTAAGTCGAAGCACTATGAAGCTATCTGCAGTGCAAGCAGGAGTTCTATCCCCAGCTAGGGAGGTGATCACATGGCATAGCAGACCTTTCCTGTCTCCCACTGTCCTCCTCAGCAGTGTATTTAAGTCAATCTGCCTATTCCATTCCCCACTCTGTCTGGTGAAATCTCTCATCCCCTACACCTCTGGTCTACACCCCAGTTTTTGTATGCATAAATAAATCTTTAAAAAAATTTTACCTGAGAAGGAGTTTCTACTCCCTGAAATTTAGTACTGCTGGTTTTATCTGTTCGTCGTTCTCCAAAATAATAAAGGCTGTCCTACAGAAAAGGGGACAATCCAGTGATGTTTCATCTGCACCTTAAAGTTCCTAAGAGAACATTATTTCTTAAGTCAGTGGTCTCTGTCAGCAGCTACTCAAAACAAAATTAACAAAGCCACATCAAAGATTCAAAATGACTTGGAATTTTAGTTTTGCAAAGACCTTAAATATTGTCGGGTCCTTCTTACTACCTTTCCACTTGAAAAATTAAGACCAAAAGAAGATTAAGACCAAAAGAAAATTAAATGTACTGTCAGGGACTTATATGAAGCAAGTTATAGGCCTGGGAGACAGGTCTCTTGCTCAGGCTTGGGCTCCGGATCAGTGGCTTTCAAACTTTTTATTTTTAAACCTCCAGTCCACATTAATAAACCTAGGACACACACACCTACTCACACTCACTAAACAGAAAAGCTTTACAAAACTATACTTCCCTTTTGACATTTGCTATTCTATTCCATTTTATTTTAAAAGATACTAGGTACAACTCAGTTGATTTTATAACTCACTGATAGATTATGATGTCTACCCCGAGAAAGCACTGTCTTAGAGTTTCCATGTTTCTAATCTGTGTGTCTCAAACTGGGGAAATAAAAGAGATGGTGGATTAGGGTCTGGCTTGTGCACGGGCCTCAGCTTCTGATCTGGCTGCAGGCCCAGGGTGCAGTGTGTCCTCTAGCGGCAACTTAGCACTATCAGTGTGGAAAAAGATTGAGAACCCTGCTTTAAGAAGTAGAAACAGTCTACTCGGTCTTTGAGAAGTTTCCAGAGGGCACAGACCCCACATATACTCATTATGCAAAGATAACAACATTCAGGAGAGACATTGTTTTGAGTTAGAAAACTACCTTCTATCTATCTAGCACTTCTAAGGCTATTTAAGGCCCTTCAGTGAACTTACTCCATTAACCTTCATATTATTCTTGTGAGGAAGGTAGGATTGGTGGGAGGAAGGGCAGGGTAGGGATTAGTGGCACACACTGATGGCTGAGATATTTTGTATTTGCATCGCTCAAATCCTGCCCCGCTAAGGTCTTTACTTAAAGGTCTTTGTTGATATTGTATATACATTGTGGATTTTCTTCATTAATTTTGATTTTAAGATATTGTATTAGAATATTATTTCTCTATGTTACTGAGATTTTTGGCATTTCCTACCATAGTGAATGTCTCACTAACCTCACCTGGATCCTGGGCAAGAGTAAGATATACCTAAATCAGTTGCTAAATAGTGCAAGTTAAACAAAGCTTCCCCATAACCACCTTTGCAAACAATTTTATTAAGTACTGTGTCTCAAAGAATCATTTTAAGTCTACAACATATCACTCTGAAGATGCCCAATTTTGCCAAAGAATCATTTTAACATCTTGCCAATGAGGCTTCAGAACTAGGAAATCAACATAAGACTGAGTTTACAGTAAAATTTCATACCTCTGCAGTGACAAATATTCCACTGGTGATAAGGCAGACACAAACCATAGTTCCAGTCCTTCCTAAGAAAGAAAATTAAGTTCATGAACCATTGTGTATGGTAGTACACAGTATAACAATAATCTTAGCAATATTCAGAGTTCATTTTGGATTCAATTTCTCTCACTCTGACAGTGCTTGTTCAAAATATCTCAATTCACAAATAGCCAAAACAGTTTCCCAGCTCTGAGGTTCTCCCTGTAATTCTGTGTACTAAATGTATGCATGAATACACACATGCATGTGCACAGTTCTTGAATCCCAGATGCTGCAGACTGCAGTAACAGGCAGCAGTAATCAGCTCTGCGTTAGGACTCCAATGCTGAAGAACTACTCTTCAATGAACTAATCACACTCCCTGTACTCCTAAGTAACATTAAGCGTGCCAATAAAAGACAATACATAACTCCAAATACCACCTAGTATTTACAATACCCATTATTCCTTCTGTTTTAGGTAAAGTTTTTCAGAGTTAGAAAACACACCTGGAAGTAAAGAGAGTAATATAATGACCCCCGTATACCTGCTATCCAGATTCTATCATTATCAGTATTTTGTTGTTTGTATCTCCCATTTCTTCCCTTCTCTATTTTTTTCTGTTTCTTTCATAATGCTTTAAAGCAAATCTTTGACTTCATATCATTTTATCCTTAAAACATAATCTTGCAGAAATCTTATGTTTTATTCAATTTATATTTTTGTCCTGCAATGTGATGTTTGGGTTCAAAATGTTCTTTTATTTCTCCAATGACCTTTAGCCTTTGGCTTAGCCAGTACATACTGAACTTATTGTATGTAAGTTATTTAACTCCAAACCTATTTTGTGATGCACTCTGTTTTCTATTCTATCCTTAAAAACAACAACAACAAAAAATCATTAAACTTACATTGCAACCTATAGTTCAAAAAGCATTATTATAAGTACTTTCAAAGGAGACTTTGTACCACCTGTGCTTTGGTAACTATAAGCTTCTTGTTAAAAGAGGCTACTGGCCCTCCCTGGTGGTGCAGTGGGTTCAGGCACAGCACTGAGAGGCTGGGGCCACTTCTGCTTGAGTTCGATTCCCGCCTGCCCTGGAGGTGACCACATGGCGTGGCAGACCTCTCCTGGCTGCCTGCTGCTCCCCTCAGCAGTGTACTTCGTTGATCTGCCTGTTCTGCTCCACTCTGTCTCTCGTGAAGCCTCTCGCCATCCCTGAGCCTCTGGCCTGTACCCCAGTTCTGTATGCACAAATAAATAAACCTTGAAAATAAAATAAAATAAAAGAGGCTACTAACCATTAACCTAGCTCTCAGCTATATAGACTGTTTATATTTCAATTCTGGAGGACATCTGGACATCTCTGGGTCTCAATAACTTATGTTTTCCCATTTTGAAGAAACTTTTGCAGATTTATGTTGTTTTAACTGTGGATAAAAATACAACCAAAGACTAATCAAATGCTTTCTCATCTGATCAAGTCAGGTATAGTACAGAATCATAAAAAAAGACACAAACTTGCCTTCAGTATTTTAATTTAAAATACAAATGTATATCCACTCATTAAATTTCTGGTATTGGACAAGGGGTTCAACTTTTTTTTTTTTTAAGATTTATTTATTTTATGCATACAGAACTGGGGTACAGGCCAGAGGTGCAGGGGCGGTAAGAGGATTCACCAGAGACAGAGTGGGGAGCAGAACAGGCAGATTGTTGAAGTACACTGCTGAGGGGAGCAGCGGCGGGTCAGGAGAGGTCTGCCATGCCATAGGGTAACCTCCGGGACAGGGGATTCAACACATGCTCAAGTGGCTTTAGCTTCAGCATGTGCTTTAACACGCTACGCCACCAGGGAAGCCGGGGTTCACCTTTTTTTAACACTATTTTTTCACTGACATGCCATTATTTTACGTCATAGTTAGTATTTTGGGAACATTGGATCTCCCGATTCAGGTATAGTCACCATTGCGCACTCACCACCAAATCATACAAAATCTTTGTCCTCCACCATCATGCCCCCCCCCTCCATACTTGTTTCGTCAATTCCTTTTCCTCTTCTACACACTCTGGATGCCTGTTTTATAGTCATCTTTTTTTTTTTTTTTAAAAATTCCATAAGGTATTTTATTAAGTCAGAACAAATATTAAGGCACAAAAATACATTAATTTTTTCAAACAAAAGTATTTCAAATAGTTCTGTCTTACATTCAAAACAATTTCTTTCAAATTATACAATAATTTAACCTTTTAAAATAGAAAAATATAATTTCTTATACCCCTAAACTTTCTCCCCAGATAAACATTCCCCTAGTCCTAAAGACCTTGTTTAATGCAGTAGTGAGCCTTGCATTATAATATACATCTCCTTAAAAATCTAGTTTAGTCACATGTATATTTGTAATGTTTAGAACTTTAACCAATGTTAAGCTTCTTGTAAGTGTATGGCTTGGTGTTCTGTATTGCTTATTGCATGCTGTTGATCAAAGACAGAAGTAGTACCCAGAGAAGTGACATATAAATAACATATCTCAACTTAAACCCAGTCATGTATGGCCTAATTTAAAGATTCAAACCCCATAAAAAAAAGGAACTAAAAATCAACTTTATACTTACATTTTTTTAAGTTAAAAATTTTTTTTTTTATTTTATAACAGTTTATAGTCATCTTTTAAGGGTTGGTTTTAAAGTCTGCCTTTGTCAGGCCCATTATTTGTTTCTCTGTATTCTACCTGTAATCAATACCATTAGGTATTTATCTTTGTCCTTTTAGTTTAATTTGTTTAATTCTTTCCAGTTCCATCCATATTTCCATAAATGTCATGAGTTTATCTCTTTTGCTCATTAACTAGTACCCCCACTGTGTCTATATACCACATCTTGATTCACTCATCTGTCCTTTACTACTATAAATAGGACTGCAACAAACACAGAATTACTAATTTCCTTTCAAATTAGGGCTTTGTATTGTTGGGTAGATATCTAGGAGTAGAATTGCCATGTCTTATGGCAGATCCACTTTTAATCTTTTGAGAAATCAAGCTCCTTGCTTTCCTTACAGGTTAGACCAGTTTACATTCGCACCAACATATGAGGGTCACTTTTTCTCCACATTCTGACCAGCACGTGTTTCTGGTCTTACTGATATGGGCTTCACTGGTGTGAGATGGTAGCTCATCATGGTTTTGACTTCCATTTCTCTGATGGTAAGAGATAGTGAACACTTTTTCATGTGACTAGTGGCCATCTGTATGTCTTCTTTAGAGAATTGCTTATGTAGCTCTTTTATCTATTTTTGATTGGGTTGTTTTCTTTATGTAAAGTTTCATGAGTTTTTGTAGAGCTTTGATGTCAGTCCCTTGTCTAATATATGGTCTGCAAATATTTTCTCCCATTCAGTAGGGTGTCTGTTCATTTTTAGTTATAGTTTCTCTTGCTGTTCAGAAGCTTGTTAGCTTGATGTGATCCATTTTATATTTGTTTCTCTAGCCACTGGAATTCTCAAAGATATCCGTGAAGCCAATGTCATGGAGTATTTTGCCAATTTTTCTCATCTATTTTATAGTTCCAGATTTATATCCATATCTTTAATCCATTTTGAGTTCATTTCTGTGTAAAGAAGTGATGAAGGTTTTATTTCTCTCTCTAAATGTAAGCTGGGTAAGAGAAAATAATATGGAAGTAAGCTTCTTGGGCAACTCTTTTGTTTTAAAAAATTTTGTTGATCCATTGGTTTTTGTTTCTCCTAAAAGAGCCTTGTTATTTATTTTTAAGTGAGATTTGGCCATGTTTCCTTTGTACTGTTTTATGGTGTTTTCCAGCTCAAGTGTGGATGAACAGTTTTATCCCCCAGAAGGTGGTTGCTGTTCTCTTTTATTCCATGAGTAGGAAATATGGGTTTTGGCTTCCACTCCCTTTGTGGGAGATTTGGGTTCCAGGTTTTCTCTCAACCAGTAGGACAGCAAGTGGTTTGGGTCAAAGATTGGGTTCTTGCTGTTTTACCTCTCCCCCATGTTTTCCTAGTCTCTTTAGTGTTACAAGGAGGAAAAATCTTAAATGGGTGCCCTGAGGTAAGACTTATTGCTAAATAAGTCTCAGAAGTCAAAAGTCATAAACTTTGGTGGAAAAGGGTGAAGCATTTAAAAATTATTAGGACACTTGCTACCTCAAAAAGAAACCTCCTATGCCAGACTAACTTGGTGTTGACAGAAGGATAGAGCTAGAGAGGGGAATGAAAGTGTACACAGTTTCAGGAGTCTGTATGCACACACATTGTTTGGAAGAAAAGGACGGTATGAGGAATGAAGATTTTTCTTTACTGAGGGAAAAAGATTTTGTCTCACGTTGAAACTAGTTATTTTTGGAATGGAATGTTAAAGTAGAAAATATCTGCCTAAGATGTGTGAGAGATATCTTTTTTTTTTTTTTTTAAGATTTATTTTTTTATGGGTGGTGAGAGGATTCATCAGAGAGAGTAGGGAGCAGAAAGGCAGATTGATGAAGTACACTGCTGAGGGGAGCAGGGGCAGGTCAGGAGAGGTCTGCTGTGACATGTGAATCACCTCCTGGGGCAGGTGGGGATAGAACTCATGCGGAAGTGGCTTTAGCTTCTTAGTGCTGTGCTTTAACCCACTCAGGGAGGGCCAGAAAATTTTTTTTTTCTGGAAAACTAGATTAGATCAATTGTATTTTTACAAGGATTTTTTCTCTAATTAAGTTGCACCATCAATAAAACCAAGCTTTAATATTCTTTCATCTTCCAAAAGGACAAAAAATAGTCTTAAACTATGGTCTGCTTTATAATAGATTGCAAGATGTTCAAATAATCTAGTTTTTTTTCTTTTCCAAATAATCTAGTTTTTGGCATGGCCAGTAGGTAGCTAGAGGAAAATCCAGTGCTGACCTCAGCACTGTGTTGAGCTGCAATCAAAATCTTCATGTTTTAAACTATTTAATATCTATGACAAAAATTCCTTGAAAATAAATATTCTGTCTTTAATTAATTTAGAAAAAAAGGGACATCTAGGAAGTACAGCTAAGTCATGA